CTGGTTTTCATATGCTTTGGTTCTTCTTTTTCTGGTTCCTTCAGCTGCAGAGTTAGATTGTTAATTTGAGATTTTTTAAATGTGGGGCTGTATTGCTATAAACTTCCACGTAGTACTGCTGTTAGAGCTTCTCATAGGGAATGGTAGCTTGTCTCTCCATTTCCACTAGTTTTAGAGCTCTTCTTGGGTTTCTTCATTGACCCAGGTGTTGTTCAGAGCAGTTTGATTAATTTCCATGTGCTTTTGGTTTGTTTCATGATTCTTTTTTTGGCTAATTTCTAGTTTCATAGCATTGAATCTATGAAGATGCTTGATATAATTTCAGTTTCCATATATTTTCTGAGACATGTTATGTCCTAGAATATGATCTATTTTTGAGAATGCCCCATGTGCAGTGAAGAAAGTATATTCATTTCTTTAGGGATAGAAGGCTCTATAAATGTCCAATAAAATCCATCTTTTCTAACCTTCACTTAAGGCCTTATTTCTTTGTTAATTTTCTGTCTGGATGATCTTTCCCTCATGTCAGTGGTATGTTGAGGTCTCGATAATGCTTGTGTTTTTGTTGATATGGTATTATAGATTTGCTAATAGTTGCTTTATGTAACTAGGTGCTCCTATACTAGGTGAATACATATTACTAAGAGTTATATCTTCTTGGTGAATTTTTCCCTTGATCATTTTTTTTTAATTAATAAGTTTTATTTTTATATTCCCCATACAATTGCAATCCCCCCATTCTGACCCCAATCCCTCCCCTCCTGCCCCCCACCCCCCAAAAAGTGTCTCTGGTTCATAGTTTTTGTTGATTTTGATTTTCACTTTCTTATAGTTATTCATTTTCCTGGTCCCGTATTTAAGTATTCTAGATTCCGGTCCCTTGATCATTAATAAACATAGTGTCCATCTTTGTCCCTAAGTGCCTTTTTTAGTTGAAAGTCTAGTTTATATAAGAATAGAAGTTTTTGCTTTACTATTTGAGTTATTTGTATGTACGAATTACTCCAAATTATTATTTTTAGTTTGTTTTTGTCTGTTTAAAGTCTGTTTAAAATGAGTTTCTTGTAAACAAAGTATCAATGGCTGAAACTTCTTCACCCACATTGTTAACCTATGTCTTTTTATCACACTTAGGGCTGTTTATTATCAGTCCTTTTGTTTTTGATTTTTGATTTTTTTTTTCTGTTGTTTTTCCATTTGTTTGTCTCTGCTCTTTTTGGGCAACTTTCCTTAGTGTTTCTGTCAATTTTTTGTTTCTTCATCTATGAGTCTCGATTCTGGATTTTTCGTTAGTGACTACCAAGGGGGTTTTACTTTAATTGCTATGTCTTTCATCCTTTATTTGCTGGTGTCTGTTCTGATATCTAACTCTATAGATTCTGTCCATTTCTTCCTCCCTCTTAGTGTTTTGTTGGTGACTCATAGTATTCTTGCTCATGCTTCTGATGTTGTGTTGCTATTATCAGTTTACTCAGGAATTTGTGCTTCATTTTTTTTCTTTTCTTGTAGAATGCCTTTCAACATTTTTTTATTGTATTTTTTATTCTATATGGAAATATAACATTTCTTGAAGTATTGGTCTGGTGGTGATAACCTATATTAGCTTCTGCTTGTCTGGGAAAACTTTTATTTCCCCTTCATCCTTGAATGATACTTTTGCAAGCTAGAGCATTCATGGCTGGCAATTCCTGTCTTTTAGAATTGTGAACACTTCTTTCCACCCTCTTCTTGTCTTAGGAGTGTTTAGGCTACAGTTTGGGGAAATGCTAATTTGGGAGACTTTCTAAGTTATTTTTTCCTTCCTTCCTGCAAAGTTTTTTCTTTATTTTTGATTTTTGATACACAATGATGTGTAGCAGTACATTTGACACACAATGATGTGTCTCGGTGTCAGACTTTTTGAATTGAAAATTTGGGGTGTTCTCTCTGCCTCCTAGGTATCCATATTTAATTAATTCTTTAGGTTTGGGAAATTCTCAGCCATTATGTTTTAAATAGAGTTTCTGCTCCCATTGCCTTCCATTCACCTTCTGGTATCCCAGTTATTCTCATGTTTTCTCTTCTACTTGAGTCTGATATTTCTTGTAAAGCTTCCTCATTTTTCCTTTGTCTTGATTCTCTCTTCTAAATGATGATTTGCTCATTTGAGTCTTCTCCATCTGACATTCTTTCTTCTGCCAGCTTAATTCTATTTAAAGTGTTTTCTAACGTCCTACATTTAAAAGTCTTTTTTATAATCTTTTAATATATTGATATCTTTGTTCCTGGATCTTCTTTCTAAGATCTGGCACCTCCCTATCTGCCTTTGACTGACCTTCTAGTAGCTCATTTAACATTTTCAATATTGTTGTTTTGAAACCTTTGTCTGATAATTTCTCTATTTCTGTCTCCTTTACATTTGTGCCGAGACTTCTGTTCTTCTGATCTGGATTTTCTATCTTTTGTTCAAAAACTTCCTTACTTTCTAGGCATGTGTGTTGCCTTATTGCTCTTTGTGTGTGTTGCCTTACTGCTCTCTCTCTCTCTCTGCTTTCTCAGTTTGCCTTGGCATGAGATGGGGTCAGGAGGGAGTCTGAGTCTTTAATACCATATCTCAGTTTAAGAAGTGAAACTGGTCACCTCCACCTCCTCTTTTGTTCCACAGCAACCCAATGATAGGTACCCCTTACAGATAAGAAACATGAGGCTTAACAGGGGTCTGCTGATTTTCAAGCAGAGCTAGGGACCCAGATTTCTCTGAATGTGTGGCTTAGTCATTATGTATACTGTCTTACCAATTGGCTATGATTTGCTCTGATGCATCATCAAATTAAAGATCAGCCTTCTATTACTCAGGGCCTGCTACTGTCCCTCCACAAGAGAGTCCTATAGCTTTATGTCCCATTAGGCAGGGTGCCCTGGAATCACTGCCTGCAGTTGTAGGTGCCTCTTAATGGGAGTGTGAAGTGCTCTGGGCCTCACACACATGCCTTTAGAAGTCTATGGTCCAGGTCAGGGGTGCATCCAATTTGAAGCAGTGTGGGTGCATTAGTGGTCCATGTTTCTTTTCCATCTCCTTGGTTGTGATGAAGAGTGACCTCTTGGGGCCTGAAAAGATATTCTGGACTCTTAAACAGCAAGAGGGCCTTTCCCTCAATTTGTCCAGGGATGTCTGTTTTGGTTTTCTTCTTCATTTGTTTCAAGACACACCCTTTTCAGGAAGGAAAATATCCTTCTTGTTACTTTGAAAGTAATTTTATCTCTAGTACCTTTTATGTGTTTCCCCCCAATTCTATGTGGAAATCTGGAGGCCCAACCTCACCATCATCTGCATTCTTGTGGTCGAGACTTGGAATGAATAAGGCCTATACGGCCCAGGCCTGGTAGAGCTTGAGCTACAGTTGTGCTTATTGGGACTGCAGAGATAGCCAGCCAAGTTTATCCTCTGAGCCACACTGTCTGCATCTTCATTGTGACATCCTAGATTGTTTTAGGTAATTTATAGAAAAGATGATGTTTTTGTTTTCCTAGAATGCTTGGGAAATTGTCCATGAAAATTCCTAGCTATGGTATGCATTTTCCTTCATCGTAGTAGTAATGAGACAAAAAAATTTAGTGTTATGCCATCTGCTAGTAATAACTAAAAACAGTATGAATAAGATATTTCTGTATTGATCCTCGAGAGCTACAGAATGTAGGATCTCGGCTCAGTGGTCATTTCACCTTTTTCTCTCTCTCAGACATACTCCTATACCTGGACAATTTTAAGAAAAATAGGATATGTCCAATGCTGTTATTAAATCTACACACTGGAAATGTTTCAGAAACTTTTATAAGATGTATGCCTTTTAAGTTATATACACATATATGCATCATATATATGTGATATATGCATTATATGTATGTGGTACATATATATTACCCTTAACAGACCTAATGTAAGTACCAGTAATTCTTCATTTAACAGATGAAGGAATTGAAGCACAGAGAGGTTAGGTGATTTATTCAAGTTCACACACAGCTGATAGTGCTGGAGCTTGAGATGGGCTTAACCACTAGACTGCATTTTGCTGCTGTGATTGGGTGGTTCCTGGGTGATTCAAAAGGCACTTCAGATTTTTCTGGTAACTCAGAAATCACCATTAAGAACCTTAGGTAGAGTTTGACTTAGTAGACAAAGCAATGGACCAGGACTCAGGCCTGTGGTGTTTTAGCCTGGATTCTACCATACAGGAACTGTATATTCTTGGGCAGGTTCTCTTCTACTGAATCTTCCTTTGCTCATCTATAGTGGAGATGATGATAACATCTTCACATAAACTTCACAGATGTGTTGTAAAGGTAGGAGACACAACGGAGGCAAAATATATTGGAAAACACTTGAAGTGCTGCAGACATTCAGAAATGATTTCTTTACATGCTTATACTAGGTTCAAGCTGGGAATTCTAAAACTACCATCCTTAGCCCAGTGCTCTCTTCACTCCTCTGTGCTACTCAGTATGTCTCTAAATAAATTTACATGCTGACTGGTTATAGTTCCTTTTCTGGAGAAATGAGAAGGATCATACGCCCCTTGGAATATGGTCTTCTCATTGCCCTCATGTTATACCATTAGATAACATCACTCTTTTCTTCAGATATTGGGAAGCATTACTTTCCTTTAGTCCCTTTTGCCTAAGAGAATAGAATCCTATATTGAAAATGACAATTCCCCATATACATTTTAATCAAGCAAAATCAAAGATGCTCATAGTGGAAAGTGGTCTCATCGGATCTGGACTAAGACCTTGTTTTCCAGATAGGTCCCTCTGTCTGACGTCACCCAGCAAGTTAGGACCAGAGTGAGCCAAGACCCTGAGTGCTGACTTCCACCCCAGGGCAGGTCCAAGTCCATGATCCTGACCCTGTACTGAGAAGCTAAGAGTGTTTCATTGGAGTTTGTTTGAATCCTTTGTGTTATTATTGAAACCTCTTCTGTCAACATGTTTTTCCTCTCTAAGCACTTATCCTTTTTTTATAGACGAAGACTGCACAAACTGGGTGTGTCGAAGGTTACCCAAGTGGATTTCCTGCCCAGGGAAGTAGTGTCCTACTCCAAGGAGACCCAGACTCCTCTGGCCACACATCAGTCTGAAGGTGAACTATTTCTTTTGCTTACATTCCATATTTTCTCTGTAGAAATTACCAGAGAGTTCTTGATTTTGTTTTCTCATAACATATATTTGAAAGATGCAAACCTAATGACACACTGAAAGACTAAGACTCCAGCTCTGGTTTTGAACCTCTGGAGAGGAAACCCAGCAGTGCTCTTTCACACTTTGTCCAAATTGTGCGAGGAGGCTGGGGGGTGGGGAGAAGCAAAGGATGGTGTATGGTAGATTCAAGCACATGCAGGAGTCTACAAACTGCAGCCCACCGCATTCCTCAAAACAAAACCACACCTATTCGTGGAGGTGGGTATGACAGCTTTCTTGCTACAGTGGAAGTAGGGTTGACTAGTTGTGACAGAGATTGATGGCTCACATAGCTTCAGATCTTTACAATAATCTGGCATTTTCCTGACCCCTGATTCATTTTCCCAATTGAGATGACAATACCCTACATTTTCTTACCACAATATGAACAGATTTTCTGTGCAAGCTCCTCGTGGATGAATGGGAATTGATCAACCTGTCTCCTTTCATGCCTACCAGAAAATATCAAATGGAAAATTTGCATGCAAATCCTAAAATAAGAGAAGTTGAAGCTGATAAATCAGAATACTTTCCAGAAATCAGGAGAGGGGGATGTACTATACTTGGAGTAAGTGAAGGTTGCATTGTTAGATGATAGCGCTGTTGTATAGCTAAGCAAATTCTCTCTTGACTTTGTTGTTTTACTTTTTGATGTGGTGAACGGGATGTTGGAATTCTGGCTTCATTTTTGTGCAGTAAATACTGAACAGAAGCTGTGAGATTGAAAAAGGACTCACGTTCCTTGCTTGGTGGATGGCAAATGTACAAACCAGTGCAGTTTGGTTTGTGCAAACCAGAGATTTCAATTTTACCTTTAAATACATAATGTCAGAAGCATAGTGAAGTCTGATTTCTTTGACGTAGAGTATTGCCTGTGGGCCTTCAGAAAGCTTTCCTGGGTAAGACGGGCTGATAGAGGATGAGTCTTTGGGTAATTGGATCTCTATTTCTGCAGTCTGATAAAACTGAAATGCATTTTAGACGCAAACCCGTAGCACCCTCTGGTGGTGAAATTTTCAACCAACCCTCTAACAAATGAGAACTGTGTTTTAATGTGCAGAAAATAAAAAGTTAGAAAAGCCTTTGGGAGTTTACCTAGGCCTCTAGGCAGATCAGGAAGATCGTTAAAAAACAGCCTTACCACCCAACGAAAACATTTGTTTGAGTTAATTTGCTGCCAGAGGTATTTGCAGAGCTGTAGCCTGAAGTATGTTTATTTAGCCCAAAAGTTGACCCATAACATAAAGTTATACAACTCAAATAGGAGAAGGAGGGAATTACTTTTTTGAAAATGTGTATACTTCAGATACTGGAAACGGTATAGAAATATTTACAAGGGAAGATAAATTAAGGATGAAAAGGCATCAGCCCTAAACTTTTAAACTGGAACACATCAAAAGGAAAAGTCTGTGCTTTCCGTTTTATTGCTGCAAAGAGAGCTTGGGCGCCTCATTATGCTGTGGTCCAAGCAGGAAAGAAGGAATTTATTTCTCAGCATTGGCAGGCTTGCTTTCTGTTTTGTTAACGAGACTCACAGAGCTGTTCAGTGGTGATGGGTGTCTCCATGGTTCACATTCCACAATACAGGTTTGAATTCAAAGCTGACTACTGTAGCTGCAGACATGAAGCTGCCCCAAAGGGTTTAGACAGGAACAGCCTTTATATTTGGGTTCAGTAAATTATACTCTCACCACAGACAGTTTGTGACCTCTGGCTGCCCCAGGTGCCCAGCCGCCTGGCTGTCCAGGGTGCCATTGTTGCTGTCACCTGCAGGGTGGAGGGAGCTGGCAGGTGAGGTGGGTGACAGCAGTGGCCATCCCAGCCAGCCAGAGGCAGCATCCAGCGAATGACTGAATTGTTTGCCACAGTAAAGCTCTTGGATGGATACTATGTAAAGCTGTGGTGTAATGTAAAATCCACTAGCTTATTTATTGCTCATGGTGCATGGAAGAACATGGACTGTTTTCTTTTTGCTAGATGGACATGTTTGGTTTCTTTACTGAGGTTACGTTGGTTTACAATGTTGTATGTGTTTTACAAGAATAGGGTTCCCCTTCAGATGAAAGGTACCACGCTGCACCCACCACCCAAATCCCTTACTCCACCACCATAGTCCAATGTGTTCCCTCCCTCCCTCCTCCGTAGCCTCAGTCCTACTGACCTTCAATTCTTTTTTTTTTCCTTTTTTTTTTTATTTTTAATTTTATTTTCTTGTATCATTTTTCATTTTTGTACAGTATATGATTTATTCCCTCATGTGTAGTCCCTATAATTTCCCCACCACCACAGCACCCATGAACCATCAGTGTAGTCCCTTGTGCTCTTCCCTCCCTGGCTTGGCCTCTGTCCTGCCCCCCACCCATGCTGTGTGCCTCAGATCTATGGTCAGTTGCTAGTTTTGTCTTTTTCTGACCTTTTGTTCAGTTTCCCTATATTCCCCTGTAAGGAAACCATCTGATTCTTTTTTCCTTCTGACTTATTTTGCTTAGCATAATCCCTCCCTGCTCCATCAATGTTGCTGCAGATGGCATGAGTTTATCTTTTTTGATTGTTGAGTAGTATATCACTGTGTAGACATACCACATCTTGATCCAGTCATCTGCTTTTAGGCATTTAGGTTGTTTCCATAGCTTGGCTATGTAAAGAGCGCTGCAGTGAACACAGGAGTGCAGGGTTCCTTTCAAATTAGTGTTTTCATGTCCTTTGGGGTAGATTCCTAGGCGTGGAATTGCTGGGTCATATGATAGATCATTTTTAGATTTTTGAGGGTCCTCCACACAGCTTACTGTAGCATTTTTTTTTTATTTTTTATTTAACTGAGGTGATGTCACAGGCTTACACCAATGTTTGTATTAAGGGAGTAGAGGGCCCCGCCGCATGTGTTATTACCATAGCGCACCCGCCACCAAAGCAATGTCGTCCTCCACCATCGTCTATTGTGCTTCCTCCCTGTTTTTTTCTCAACCCCTCAACCCTCCCCCAACTCTAGATTCCTTAGTCCTAGGGAGATCATTTGCTTGGTGGTTAGTAGAAAGCTTTTGTGAGAATATAACATGCTAGGGAGAGTGATTATTATAAACAGAGTAATTTCCAATGTTTGGAGTATACTTCAGAGCCATCATCCCCAAGACCCAAACCATTTAAAATCAAATGTCAAAAAGACCCTATCACTGGAGTAACATTCTTAAACTAAGTCATTTGCTTAGTAAACTGAATTTGCCTTAGAAGAGTTAATCCAGGTGAGCAGCATATTCTGCACTACTTTTAAAAAGTGAAGAATATACATTACTTTCAGGATACTACAACAGAATGATTTGACATTTCTATGCAGTGCAAAATGATCATTTTAATGTCTATATCCCATCTATGCTTAGCAGTTTTTCAAATTTGCAATAGAATATTATTGACTATGGACACATGCTGTATACTACATCCCTGTGGACTTATTTTATTACTGGAAATTTGTACCTCTGAATTCCCTTGACCCATTTAGCTTATTCCCAACCCCCCTCTGGTAACACTAATTTGTTCTCTCAAGGAGTTTTGTTTTGCTTTAGATTCCACGTATGTGAAATAGGGACGTTTTCTCTTTCACTTAGCACAATACACTTAAGATCCACCCATGTTTTCATAAATGGCAAGGGTTTGTTTTCATTTTTATGGCTGCATAGTATTCCATTGTGTATATGTGTTTGTATACCATATCCATGCCTGTGTGCCTGCCTGTATAAGTGGGGCTGTGTGTATGTAAGAGATTCCTCCCATTGTTGGTTGCCATGCCAGGGGTGGGGTTCATGGCAAGACCATGCCTCTGCTCTCCTGCCTGTCTTGATACAGACCCTTAGTATTAGTTGTGAGGATCTCTTGAGCTAGTATGTTTTGGAGGGAATTCTTCTATATGTTGGTGTATATTTGCGGTGTCTATGGGAGGAGGTCAGTCAGGGTCTTTCTGCACTTCCATCTTGCTTCCTGGTTCTCTTTAGTGTTTTCAAAAGTTAAAATTTCCTGGTAATAGTTTCATTGCACTTTTAGCATGAGGAGCAGTGATCTACCAAAGGGAACAATCTTTGAATCATGAAAATGTCCTTGTAATTCCTATTGGGGTCTGGCTCAGGAGGAAGGTGACAGCGACAGAGATCAGTAAAATATAAGGGCTGTAGGTACTTTTGTCTTGGGTGTTTTTCTTTGTACAGAATCTGGGCACAAGGATTTTGGGATTGAAGTTGTTAACCAGAGACAGTGAAACAGACCCCCAGGTTCAGAGAATCTGACTCTTGAGAGGTGGCTGAGTTGCTTCTAGAGAAACAGAGGCATTGGAAATCAGGAAGACGTTTATGGTGGACAGAATATAGGATTTACCAGTTTGTGGCAAATCCAGCAGTCTCTGACACGGCTGCCATTAGTAATGGCTGGGACATAGGATGATGGCTTTGTAAGAAAAGGTTTCATGTTTTGAAGTAAGAAGGTGATGGCCTGACACCTTGGGTAGAAGCAGTCTCCAATGATGTCTTCTTCGCCAATGTGATTGGAGGTCTCCCTGGTTGTACTGGCTCAGATGTCAAGTGGAGATTTCTTTTACAGTAAGATGTAAACCTGAGGTTCAAACCTGGGAAATTTGGCTGCTACCTGGGTAGTGTAAAGGACATGGTCTGGTCCCTTCCAAAGAGACTCAGGTTTTGTTCCCAGTTTTTCCAAATCAGAAGGATGACAGGTAATTGAAAACACCAGAGAGCTGTGGCAGATATTTGAGGAAATTAGCAAAATGCAGGGTATCATCTACATGTCTATACTCAAAATAGTTTCTGAATTGTGATCAGATAAAAAGGTAATGTGTCATTATTGTTTACAAAGGCATACTTCAGATTGCTGTAAGTCATAGATAACTAAAGAGATAAGGTTTAAGGAACTAGCCCTAACAAAATTAAAATTCTCCTCAGTTTCATCCCTCCTATGCAGTTAATAGTTGCTGGGCCAGAATCTTTACATGATTTGTTATCAAGATACAGACCGAAAGTCCAAGTAGACTGTTTACAATTTAAGAAAACTTGTCTTAATAGCTTGAAATAAGTACACTACAGCAGTTTTATCAGTTTATTTAAAGCTGTATGGGAAAAATTATTCTCTTCTTCAACTTGACCTCACATAAGATCCCTTACCAAGATTTCATTTTTCCAAACCTTCTGCAACTCTCCAGCCTCCCCAAACATTTTTTTTTTTTTCTGATGAGAATTACCTACTTGACGTTTGCATTTCAAAGAGATAGTCCAGATAAAGGTTCCATAAAGGTGAGTAGAATATTTACATTTTAAGGCTTAGGGAAATAATGCAAATTCCTCCAAGAAGTACTTTTGGTTCCTAAATCCAGAAGGTTTTGGAATTGGTTTTAAAAAGAGAGCAAGTGCTGGGCTTGGAACTGTTTCTAGAGTTAGAGTCCCCTTATAAAAAGATTCAAGTTTGTTAGGTAAGGACAGTTTTTAATTCCTCATAGAACCGGGTTGCGACTTGAATGACAACCTAGGTTTTTAATTTGCTTCATTAGATCAGGGAGCTCTTCAACATGGAAATCAATAGATTCTTATGTTCTAGATTTTAGAGTTGTATGTCCTTGGAATGCTTTGCTGTACATCAGGGTATACAGTTCCTTGGTAGCTGAGGGGAGAAGACCTGAAAATGTTTTTGTCAGACTCTGAATAGATTCTGAATATCAGCTTCTGATTAGGCCAATTTCTGACCTTAGAGGTTACTTTAAAAAAATTATTTCATATCTTGTCAGGTTTCAGCTGGGACCACAGTAAATATTCCTAGCGGTACTGGGCAACTCCGTGGACCCAAAAGGCTTCCCTAAGTGTTACAGGACAGGGAGAGGGGCACCCCAGACCCCGCAAACCTGCCTGCTCTAAATAGGTTCTGCCATTCGCCGCATCAACACAAAACATATGAGATTTTAATGCAAAGGAACTTTAATAAAACTAGGAAACAATACAGGAAAGGCAAAGAATCTAGTTTCTAAATGAAGCACCCAAAGTTACCCGTCCCCTCGTGGGTAAAAGTCCATCCATATGGGATCGGCCCAGAGCAAGGCCCCAAAGCCTGCCACAAGTCTAAAGCATCTTCCAGTGGGGACCCTCAGAAAAGGGTCAGAAACAACCAGACAAGCCCGGAAGGAAAAGAGCAAAATCAAAATCAAGATAAAAACTGCCATGGTCACCTCCCCACGGGTCTCACCCACATCTGTGTCAACCAGTCCACGACCAAAAGGCAAGCACAGTTTCTTCACGCGTCTCTAGGCTCCATGCGCCTCCTCCAGGTCTCCTCCTGGCTCTCCATCCTGCTTCCTTCCTTCCACAGTCTCCTCTGCAGCTTCTTCTCTCCCTGCTCCGCTCCATCCTCCCTTGGGTGGGGCAGGGAACCTCCCCCTTTCCTGGGGACCACCCTGTTACATAAGGACAGTACTAAAACTGTTACTCTCCCAAGATCCAGAGCCACTGCCAAAGATAACCTGAGCAGATTTAGACACTTCCTCTGAGGACTGACATCAGTAGGTGGGACCCCAGCCACCAAGAGGTACAACCCACATTTCTATTTTGTGGGGGGCCCAGCCTAACGGTTGCCAAACTACATTCTCAGGACCTAACACAAGACAAACAAAGTCACTAGTGTTCCCTGGGAGAAAAAGGATCAATAACCAATGGGTCTAGATTGGGAAAGGAAGAGAAAATGTGAAATTTTATTTTCCTCTCTTGACTAGGCACTACAGACAGACTCAGGAGCGCTGACTCTGGTAAGAATTCTCACTCTTCTCTGGTTTCTGCCAATTTTTCCAGTACCCTGTCTGCAGGTTCTGGAGTGAGTGGGTTTAGACAACATAGCTCCAGTGTCTATCAGCACTTGGAAAGGCTCTGCACTGGTAGCTTCTGCCTTTGGCATTGTTGTTTTCCTATTTTTAAAAATGATTGTTCTTTAAACCGAGGTTACATTGGCTGTTCCCTTTGAATTCCTATCAGTTATTTTCTTAAACGCCAAAGGATCATTCCACTCCTTAGGGATAATCCTTTTATACCCACAACATGCTGGGGTCGGGCTGCCTGTCACTGTTGGAAACCAACTGAACAGACAGGAACTGAGTCTCTAGCACACACTTTATTGTCAGAAAGCCGATGATCTGAGAGAACAGGGTTATTTTACCTCAAAACACCTCTGACATCTTTCACCCTAGCTTTTTTCCTAGTGAACCAAGCAAAGACAGTTAACCATAAGCAAACCTCCCACCACAGCAGCGTATCACAGGTGGCTCCCTGATCTTTGTCATGTCCCCAGAGTGTTAGCACCTCCTTGGTAATCTTGACCCAGGTCTATCCTGTTTTCCTGGGCTGGGAAAAACATCTTTGTTCTCCTGATGGTGTCAATGTCCAATACCTCTTCAGGCGTCACCAGGCCAGAGCTGTCAGATCAAAACAAGAGTTTCAGTTCAAAGAAAAGAGATTATTAATCACACAGTGTTTGCATGGAGCCCATGCTGTGGGTTCGAGTAGATTCCTACACTAGGGTAAGGTGTCCTTTCCTTCCTCCCTAGCCCTGATCACTTTGGCATTTAAGGGAGTAACTGATAGGAGTTAAAAGGAATCCCTCAGATTCTAGTCAGTCCTGGAAGTAGCATATATGGACTTTTGTTTATAATCTTGATTCTTCAGAGTAGAAAGACAATTCAGAAAGGATTAGTAAAATTGCATATTCAGGAAAAGAATCAATGAAGTCATTGGGAGACATGTCAGTTTTAGAGTCTGTTTTAGTTACCTCTGTCTTTAGTTTTTCATTTGCCTTTGCAATGATGCTTTTAATGAGGTTTTTTGAAATGTGAACACTTTTGGTGGCTTTTACATCTCGTTGGACGTAGGAACCCTTGCTTTCTAGTACATTTCTCAAATGAACAATCTTGTGGAATTAGAATGTTCCTGAAAATAGCCATTGTGAGTCCATGCCGTCATCAATAACATTGGGTGCATTTACTTAAAAATGTGATGAGGAGAATGTGTAACCTTTTAACATAGAACTGGCCAGAGCACCTCAAGGTGGTCTACCCTTAAGAGCAAAGAAAAAAAAGCCAGCTAGCTCAAGCATATGCTTAGAGTTGTGACATGTTTTTTGTTAATGTGCCTTTCGTGAGCTAGTCCCTTTTCCTGGTCAATGACCAGATACCTGGTTGCACTGAATTTTCTGGCAGGTGGCAAGTGACCTATTGTGAAACTTGTTTAACTGGAACCACTTTATCCTTCCCCTGGAACCTTGTGCTGAGGAGATGGCTGGCTCACAGGGCAGTAAGCCTGCTTACACCTTAGGTGCTGGACCCTTGCCCAGTGATTTCAGTTTTCGTTTTTCTCTCAGAAAAATCTGAGTTTAATTCTTAAGCATATTCTAAATCAGAAGCAAAAGAATACTTACCAGGACAGTCTGTCCTTATCCAAATGCTGAAAAATGTCTGAGAACTCAACCTAAAGGAGCTGAAATCGAAGAGGAGACACACTGCATCAGAAGCAGGAGGTGACTCACGGAGCACAAGAGCTCAGTGCAGGTACCTTACTTGATTCTGATGGCGGTTGTGCCTGCAGGGTTGTCTCCTTCAGATTCCACTTCTGACAACATTTAATCTCAACCTAAACAAAGAGGTAAACCAAGGTAAGCTCGAATTACCCATCACTGAGTTTGTTCTGGAATAACAGGAGTTGCACTTCAGGAAACTCATGCTGTAGCAAGTCACAGGTGAGTCCCTGGAGGGTTTTGGGCATTCTAGTTATGGCCAAGGAGTGCAGGAGGGAATGTTCCATGCAGGGTCCAAGCAATAAGTTCAGTGGCTTGAGCATGGGAGAGAGACCTGGAAGATCGTCATTGCTCAGGAGATAAGTTTCCTTGTATGTAGTCAGGTAATTATGCAACTGCCTGTCCCTTACTCCTGAGGGCGTGTCATGAGATGTTCCATTTTTGTACCAAAAGTTAACTATTTTCTAAAATCACCTACCTAAAGAAAATCCTGTAGATGGTACAGTCAAATCCTAGTGAAACACATTTATCAAAAATACTCTTTCCAATGCAGAACAAAAGAGTAGTAAATGACAACTAAAAAGAATGTAACAAAAACATTACAGAGCGAGACTTGGTACCAGTGGACACTACTTCCTGCACCTCTATATCTGTGGTTCTAGAAGGGGTGGGGGGTGTTGAAAAGAATGACTGTAGAGTGTTATATGAACTTAAGCCTCAAAATAAGATGCGATCTTGGGAACAGTACTGTACTAGAAAATGAACTGATAGATCTTGGGAAGATAATCTGGGAATTTTCTGTTTGACCATGAGTTAAATAATATATCACATTCTTGAGGTCAGGGGTTAACAATGTGGGTTATAAATTTGTGGAGTATGGACGTAAAAGATTTTGCATGAAATAAACATACATATGTAAGTATATACACACTTTGAGTCCACCAAGCATGTGCTTGTACTGGCATTATAGAACATACCAGCCCTTTTCATCCGATTGTTATTTTACTTTATTATTATGAAAAGGTTTTTGATGGTGCGTAACTTTTGCCGTACATATTCTGTTACTCGATCTGTTTTGAAAGGTGCTCTCATATGTCTTTTCTAAATCTTTTGCCATTTGCATGCTCTAAAATTGTACCCTTCCAGCCAACATACTCAGCATTGCTCATGAACTGTTAGACCTTTTCACCCCTAGTTTATTCTTCCAAATGAAATGGGTAATGAAATAACCTAATCCAAGCTCTTCTTCCAAATGGAATTCTAATGATTTTTCTTCACTGTACTTCAGACCTACATATGATTGTAGGTCTGCAGTCTGCTGCTGGCATGTGCTAACATATCACCTAGAATTTACATATTACTCAGCTATATTTTTTTTTTTATTTTAACATTTATCAATTTTTTTTTACATTTTTTAGACAATATTTGCTCCCCTCCACCCCCTCAGATTGAGTCCCCATAGAATCTCCTTCCCCAGTGCACCAGCACCACAATCCCCTGTGCTCCTCCCTCCCTCCCTCTGATCCCTCTCCCTCCTCCTCCTCTGCAGGATGTCTCTGGTTTATAATTGTCTGTTTCTGCTTTGTTGTGTTTTGTACTGTTATTTTTTTTACACTGATGTCCTACTTGGTTCCCCTATATTCCTGTTATAAGTGAAACCATCTGATATTTTTCTTTTTCCTTCTGGCTTATTTCACTGAGCATAATTCCTTCTAGCTCCATCCATGTTGCTGCAAATGGCATGAGTTTATCTTTTTTTGAGTGCTTATTCAGCCATAAATATTGAGGAGATCCTGTAATTCGCAACAAGATGGTTGGACTTGAAGACATGCTATGTGAAATAAGTTAGACAGGTAAATCGATTATATGTGATACAAAAAATACCACCCAAATCACAGTAAATGAGGCCAGATTTTCGGCAGGCAATGGTGGAAGGGGACCTGGGGTGAGCAGATGCCGAGTACCACGGCTGATACTGTTATATGGCATAGAGGATGGTCGTTGAGAAGATCCTAGGCGTTCTCAGCACAAAAAGATTTTTTTTGTTGTTTTCATTATAACGATGAGCTGTGGGATGTTAACTAAACTTCTTGGTGAAAATCATTTCATAACACACGTAGATCAAACCGTCATGCTGGACACCTTCAACTTACACAGTGATGTTTGCCAATTGTCTCTTTAAAATTGGAAAAAGAAAATCAACAAAAACAATCTCCCAGAATCCAGGCTCTGGAAGTTTTTCTAAGAAAACCTCAAAAGTTTTTCTTAGTCACAGAGCATTTCTCATCCAGCTGAGAGCAGTGCCTGCAGCAGAGCACGGAGGAGTGTGGACAGAGGGCTCCTGGAGATTGTTTGCCACAGTTCAGTGGACACTCCTGTCCATGCTGACGCGGGGGATCCGCCTGGCTTTCTTGCCAGATTAGAAAACACTCATTCCTAATGCGTGGTTTTTCACTGTCACCGGTGTGTCTCATGGTTAAGACTGAATCTCCTAGAGCCCAGAAGCAAACCAGTACCTCTCGCTCCACAGGGTAGAAACAAAATAAAGCAGCTACACTCTTGTTTTAAAATTTAAGTACCTTTTCTGTGATTCCCTTTTAGAGCTGTTTGGCGATGATTTCCCACAGGCACTGTGCATATCCTTGGGTCAGATGAACCATCATTTCTAGGGGTGTGGCCACCTCAGAGTAGAAGTCTTTTGAGTCACGTGGTAAATGAGTTAACAAGTACATGTGATTACTGGGCCTGATCCCTGCGAAAGCATGTTGGCCTACTCGGCATGATGATTTCGTGTTACGGTGTGATTGTGACATACTTTGGAGTGCATGAAACCACTGTACCCAGAGAAACTTGGCTCAAGGAGCAGGTCCCCAATCTTTTCAAAGATTTTTCTGCCATTCTCTAGTCTCCATATGTCTTCACAATGTACTGAAGGTGCCAACACAGCTTGCTCTCCAGGGCCTCTGGCGTCACGGGCTGAGTGCAAGGTAAGCTGCTCAGTGTCTCTAGGCAGCCTGAGAGGATGACCGACCCTGACGTAAGGTGATGAAGATGCGAAATGAGGTGTCATCTTTAGCTGCCAAGTAAGGCTTAGTGGAGAATTTGTCACACTCTCGTCTCTGTCACTATTGCCCCCTCTACCCGTCTCTCCATCTCTGCCTCGTCTCTCTCCCTCGCTGGCTGTCTCCCCTCCATCTGAGACTGTGTGGCAGTCTGTCTGAGTCACTGTCTTCCTCCCTTTGTACGCCTCCCTTTCCCAGTCTCTCCCTGTCGCACTCCATGTCTGTCTCTCATGCTGTCTTGCTCTGTCTCATGCCATCTCTTTCTCTGTGCCCCTCTGTCGCTTGCCTGTTTCCCTGACTGACTCTAATCCTGTCTCTCTTTGTCCCTGTCGCTCACTGGCTCTGTATCTTTCTCCCCTTTGTCTCTCGTGCTGTTTCTCCCTGTCTACCTCCTGCTGTCTCTCTGGTGCCTACTCTGCATCTCTCCCTCACTCTGGCATTGTCTCTCTGTCTCCCTGATTCTTTCCTCGTCTCTGCCTCCATCTCCCTCCCTGTCTCTTGTGCTCTGCCTCACGCTCTCCTATGTCTCTTGCTCTGTCTCTCACTGTGTGTGTGTCTCTGTCTCCCTCCCTCTCGGCTTTTCTGTCAGCCTGTCTCTAGCCTTATCTCTGCCTCTCCTTGTCCCTGTCTCATGCTGTTTCTCACACTGTCAGTCACTTTCTCGTGTGCCTCTCTCCACATCTGTCTCTCTGTCTCCCTCCGTCTCTCCCTTGTCTTTGATTCTCTCTTCTCCTTTGCTTTCCCTCCATCTCTTCCCCTCCCTGTGTCTCTCTCCCCATCTCTGTCTCTCTGTCTTTCACTGTCTCTCCCGGGCTATTTCTCTGGCTCCCTCCTTTCCCTTTCTGTGTCTCTGCCTCATTTCTCCGTTTCTTGTGCTCTCTCATGCTTTCTCTGTCTCTCTCTCCCTGTCTCTGTGCTTCTCCCTCCCTATTTCATGCGTTCTCTGAGCTATTACCATCTCTCCTGTCTGGCTGGCTGTGTCCAGTCTCTCTCACACTGCCTGTCTCTTTCCCTGTGTCTTTCTCTACTGCGTGTCTTACTGTCTCCCTCTGTCTCTCATGCTAATTCAGTCTCTTTCTCCCATCTCTCCCTATCTCTGTCTCCACCCCATCTCTCCCTTTGTCTTGTGCTGTCCTCATCGCAGTCTGTCTCTCCTCGTCTCTCCTGTGCTGTCTCTCTCCCACTCTCTCGGCCTTGCTGTGTCTCATGCTCTGTTCCTCTTCCATGTCTCTGTCTCCTTTCTCTGCCTGTCTGTATGTTTCTCTTTGACTACCTTTCTCTCACATTCTTTATCTGTCTCTGTTCTCGCTCACTGTCTCTTCCTGTTTCTTATCTCTCTCGTCATCTCTCTCTTCTAACAGTCTCTCTTGTCTCTCTCTCTCTGTTTTCTATCTGTGTGTCTCTTTCTGTCACGTCTCTCTGTATCTCTTCTCTTCCTGTCTCTGTTCTCTTGCTGTGCCTGTTTCTCTCCACCACACTGTCAGTATCGCTCATCTCTTGCACTTGCCCTGTCCCTGCCGTCCTGTCTCTCTCATGTTCTCTATACCTATCTCCCTTGGTCATTCATGTACTACCTGTCCCTTTCCCTCGCCTGTGCTGTCTCTCCCAACTGCTCTAGCTCTCTGGCTGTCTCTGTGCTTCCTCACTATTTCTGCCTCTCTCTCCCGCTCTCTATCTCTTCTCCATCTCTCCATCTGCGTCTCTGTCTCAGGCTGTCTCTACTCTGTCTGGACTCTCCCTGTCTCCCGTCTCTCTCCTCACTAGCACGGTCTCTCCCGCCCTGGCTCACGCGGTCTGTCCCAGTTTCTATGCCTGTCATTCTCTCTCCTCCCTGCTCTGCCTTATGCTGTCTCGCGCTAGCTCTCGAGCTGTCTCTTTCTCTGGATGTCTCTCCTGTTCCATTTCTCTGTGTCTCTGTCTCCTCATGTTGTCTCATGGCTCCCTCTTTGTCCCTCAATGCTGTCCCTGTCTCTGTTGCTATCTCTCAGGCTGTCTCCGTCTCTGCGTCCCCTGCCCAGCTCGCTCCCTGTCTGATCTCATGCTCGCCATCATCT